AAAAGCAGAGACATCACCTTGCCGACAAAGGTCCGCATAGTCAAAGCTATGGTTTTTCCAGTAGTGATGTATGGAGGTGAAAGCTGGACCTTAAAGAAAGCTAACCGCCAAAAGAATTGATGCTTTTGAATTGTGGTGCTGGAGGAGACTCTTGAGAGTCCCCTGGACTGCAAGGTGAACAGACCTATCCATTTTGAAGGAAATCAACCCTGAGTGCTCACTGGAAGGAGAGATCCTGAAGCTGAGGCTCGAATACTTTGGCCATCTCATGAGAAGACAAGAGTCCCTGGGAAAGACCCTGATGTTGGGAAAGTGTGAAGGCAAGAGGAGAAGGGGACGACAGAGGACGAGACGGTTGGACAGTGTCACCGAAGCTACCAACATGAATTTGACCAAACTCCGGGAGGCAGTGGAAGACAGGAGGGCCTGGCGTGCTCTGGTCCATGGGGTCACAAAGAGCCGGACACGACTTAATGACTAAACAACAACAGCATAGCTAAGTCACAGAGTTGCATCATTTGAATCAAAATTACTTCTGGAGGAATTGACTCACCAGATCCCCATTGATTCGACTAGCTAACTCTAGTGCACTTTACTATCCTAAGCAAAAGGATTTGGGCCACTGAGTCACTCCATCCCGTGTTTGGTCATCCTGTTTTCCTGCTGCCTTCCACTTTTTCTAATAGTATTGTTTCTTCCAGTGAGTTTGTCTTCTCATGATGTGCCCAAAGTATGAAAGCCTCAGTCTAAATGGTATGAAGATATGTTGTTTTAAGACCCACCTTCTGCTCTTGAGACCTGCCTGAGTTTTAAAACTGGCATCAGTCCTGCTTTTTGTCTTTCTTGAGGATGTTCCAGCAGGCCTTCCCTCCAGCTAATTCTTAATGTTTTCCTTGTCCTTCTCTACCGTGACTCACTTTGTTTGCTATCCATCTTGCTAATGTGTCTACTGTATAATAATCCTTTTTAAATTTATTCATGTATTTTATGCTGTAAGCCGCCTAGAGTGGTCATAACTGACCAGATAGTCGGGATATAAACAAACAAACAAACAACTGGAACAACAGTGGCATCATTGCATCACTGTATATTTTAGGGTACTACTAAAAAAAGAATGGAAACTCTTCAGAATAAAACTGGAACAACAGTGGTGTCATTGCATCACTATATATTTTAGGGTACTACTAAAAAAGAATGGAAACTCTTCAGAATAAAAGTGCGTAGTGATCTGCTGTTTTTAGCAACTTCTATATTCATAAGGTTACAGTGTTTCCTTTTTTAGCCAATTTTTCTTTGGTCTTGTATGCATTGTTATGTAAGCAGTTTTTTGAGTTTATCAAGAGAACAGTGAAGTGGAAATGAGTACTGTTTGCTTAGAAATAAATTCACTGGTTTCAGTGATATTCACTAGGTATGTCCAGAGCCGTAGCCTTGCCTATGCTGCATAGGCTGAGTACCTGAAAAAAATAATAAAATCCTGTTTACCTTCCAGGTAACTTTCTCTTCCTACCTTAGCATCGTCAAATCTAACGTTTTTCTGTGCTGTAGCTTACCCACTGATAAGGGTTGCAGATATACTTTAAATATTGTATCACGCATGTGAGGGGGAATTAAGAAAAACACTTAGCAATGTAGGGGGCTGTATAGTTGTGTGATGCCTGTACTCTGTGGGAAGCAAAGGTTCCTGGCAATCCAGCATACCAGAGAGCAGGGAACAATATTTAGTTGGTTCGTGCCCCAGAAGTTTCTTCTTGTTGTTTTTAACAGAGATAATTGTGTAGGCGCCGGGTCTTGATAAGGGTTAGGGTAGAGGCCTTAATGGTGGTTGTAAATTTGGAATCCAGTCATGTTTCTCTCCTAACTTCCTGTGCTGTAGGATCCCAATGCAGACACGGAATGGAATGACATTCTACGCAAAAAAGGCATCCTTCCCCCAAAAGAGGAGCTGAAGGCGCAAGAGCAGGCTGAAGAGGAAAGGCAGCTCCAGCTTCTCCAGCAACAGTCAGTGGGTGAGCAGTCCAGCTCAAGAGGGCTCCTCGAATCCACTTTGCAGGGTCATTTGCTCCTCCATAATCCACAGAAGTCTGTGGCCGTGCAGACAAAGGCCTGGTTAGCACCAGTGGGGCTTGTGTACCCATTGCACGTTGATGCTGGCCTTGCGTGTGGGTAGAGCCAGAGTGGGTATCACAGACAGGGTGCTGGACAAGGGTTCGGGAGATTGGGGTTCGAATCTTCAACTCAGGCATGCAAACTCATTGCTGGTAGCAGCAGTAAAACCTTATCCTGAACACCTTGGATACTTTGAGAACTCTGTTAGTAACAATGAAAGTGGCAAGTGGCCGGACAGCAGCGACTACAACAGATTTCTTGCTGAGAGGATCATGGTAACGGTAGGAATGTCCCTCCCCCCCCTGCAGTTTGTGAAGAATATCAGTAGCAATTCTGAATGTTGTATTTGAGAAGCAAAACATGCCCAGTTTTTATGGGTAGCGGTTAGTCTTTGATAAATTTCCTAGAAGAATTCTTCCCCTGTATGGCAAGGATAGGAAAGCTGTGGCTGTTGGGATGTTGTTGGAGTGGACTTTCCATCATCTTTCCCCAGTGGCTGTCCTGCTTAGGTCTGGGATTTGTAGTCCAGCAACACGTAGAAGGCCAAACATTTTTCTCCCCTATCATTGGTGGGCAGCTGAAGGACTGGGGTTTAATTCTTAGGATCTAGAGTTGTTAGATGGTTTAGACCTAGGGCCAGAGTTCTCGTTCAGGGTGTAAGGGGAACTGGTATGCCTTTGTAAAATATAATTTCTATTTTCACTCCAGCAGATGTGCTCAAAGGTTTCTAAGGGAAGACAGATGCATTTTTCTGCTGGCTCTGTCTTGTGCTCGTTGGAAGAAATAGGATCTGCGGCATATTCACACACGCTGAGCACAACTCTCAGGGCAGTCGGGCAACAGCCTGAGGCAGCATCCATGGGGGGGGGCACGTCAGTGGTAACCCACTGGCTTCTTTCTGTGCTCCCTGGTGATCCCATCCTGCTGGAGAACAGAGTGACGTCTCCCATGCAACTTCTCCTGGGCTGTGAAATCAGCTTGCTGCCTCCGATGTGGTGGGGCGCCCATCTCTTACAACATGTTAGAGTGTTCGCGATGAACAGATAGGTGGGGTATAAATGGAATAAATAAATAAATAAATAAATAAATCTTCAACCTTGAATTAAGATTTGCCCATCAATCCAACCAGTGTATAAATGGATTGGATCCTTTGCCTCAAGAGGCAAAATACCTTGGCCTGGCCTTTTAGGCTGGTTCCTGGCATAAAAGTGCATGCAGAGTTTTAAAATGTATCTCACACATCTTCGTAACAGTAATAGAGTGATCTCAAATGACATGGCCTTCTGTGAATAGGAGCATTTCCATTTCCATCATTTTGCTGTTCTTTGTAAGTTTGCTGATGGGGCCTGGAGTGAGGGCCTGGCAGTACCATTAGCAAAGAAGCCGTTTCTTTTAAGAAGAGATGTCTTTGACCCTGTGGGATACTCTTTGGTCTGTGAAAAACCTTTATTGAATAAAGTGTATCCCTTGGTGCGGGCTGTAATTGCCTTCCATATTGCACGTCATTTAGAAAAGAAACAGATGATGACTACCTAAAATAATGTCCATCTCCGTAAGAGCTGCAGTCTTGTAACAAAAGAATGCTTGTGGGTGACATTTAGGTGAGCAGAGCTAACGAGCCCATGTGGTGCATAATTGTGACTCTTGTGTAAGCTTTAAGTTAGTACTTAAGACTAAACCCCATTTCTTTTGCAATGACTACATTTGCCTCACATCTTGGAGTCAGTATATGCACCTAGTAGAAGCAGGTTCACATGGGAGAGCTGCAAGCAATACATTTTTAGCAAACGTGCATCTCCATTTCATACTTCGTGTTTAGCTTTGTAAATACAAACGTATACAAGGCAGGCGTTGTGGGACTGAACCGCTTGCCCAAGGCCACCCAGGCTTCACAGGAGGGAGAGTAGGGAATCAAACTCCCTGTCTCTAGCTCTGCAACCAGATGCCTCAACCACGAAGCCCTAGTTAAGAGTCCCCAAAAGGGTTAGGTTTAGTCCTGGGACTGAGCCGCTTGCCCAAGGCCACCCAGGCTTCGCAGGAGGGAGAGTAGGGAATCAAACTCCCCCTCTCTGGCTCTGCAACCAGATGCCTCAACCACGAAGCCCTAGTTAAGAGTCCCCAAAAGGGTTAGGTTTTCTCCATACTAATCCGGCGCCTCTCTATATTTTTTCGCACATCAGTCAAAACCTACGAAGACATGACCCTGGAGGAACTTGAAGAAAATGAAGATGAATTCAGTGAGGAAGATGAGCGTGCCATGGAAATGTACAGGTGAGAGTGCGGTATAGATTCTGTAGATAAAAGTATTTGCTGCCATTAGGGGGTGGGCTCCCCAAGTGACTGGAAGGTGGGAAGCAGGAAGTTGTCGGTGAAATCCAGGAAAAAATAGCTTTGGCTCTTCCCCTCTTGTAGGTTTCACTGAAATAGTATTTAAGGGAGCACTCACAAAAATGTAAAGGGAAACGATGGAGAAAAGTAACTTCCCACCCCACAGCTTCCAGAATTCCCTTAAGCATCACAGTCACACAGTCCTCACATAGTTGTAACCAAAAATGTAAAGTGTTCCTGAGCTCTCCAGGAACAACAGTTCTCTTCTGAAGCAAGGTATAGAATCTTGCTTTAGTGTTTCACGTTGTTGGTATGTACAGTTAAGTGGTTCATAGCACCACCACACACCCCAAATGAATGAGCTCCAGAGTGTCCTATCATTAACAGCTCTGCTCAGCTCTTGCAAACTCAAGCATGTGGTTGATTTCATGTTGTAAACTCGTAATCATAAAGAATAAGTGAATGAATGAATTTCTTTCAGAAGATGGTGCAGCCCATAGGCTTTTATTGAGCCAGCTGTAATGTGTCTGTGAGCTTTTTTTATTTTGGGGGGTAATCCTCTCCATCCCAGAATTGTAAGTAAACTCGCAATCATAAAGAGTAAGTGAATGAATGGATTTCTTTCAGAAGATGGTGCAGCCCATAGTGAGATCCCAAGGGTGGCCAGAATTGATATCCAGTCTCTCTAGAGCTGTCCACCCTAACTGGAGTGAAAGCTGAGGCACTTACAGGGGGCTTTGGGTTTTTGAGGGTAAAAAAAAAAAGAGAGAAAAATTCAGGTACCCACTTTCCACATATAGCTTCCTTTGGGAGGTCTTCACAGAAAATAACGGTGTAGAAAACATTTTATATAACTTGTTGTAACTATGATTGGAGACTGTCAGTGTGGTTTGTCTCTTCTTCTTTTTTTTGTTCTGAGTCACCACGTTTCCATTTTCAACTCAGATGACCCAGTCATCAGCCCTCCCTGCTTTCCATGTTGTTTAGCAAGGGGAAGAGCTACTGCAGCTTAATAAGTAAGAGATTGCATTGTGTGTGTGTGTGGAGGGGAATGGTTCAAATCTTACCTTTAGCATAACCTGCATAGGTATCTTTGGGCAACTCGTTATCTTGCAGTCTCTGATGTCATCTTTGATATTAGGATAAAAATGTTGCCTTCTTTGGCAGATATCTTAAAGATTAGTCAGCTTTTGAACACACTGTAGTCTCAAATCCATGTTTATAGTTTTCCTTCTCTTCCATCTTCCTTATGATGCAGGCAGCAAAGACTAGCTGAATGGAAAGCATCTCAAGCCAAAAAGAAATTTGGGCATGTTTTAGAGATCTCAGGGCAGGATTATGTCCAAGAAATTACCAAAGCCAGCAAGGATATATGGGTGATACTGCATCTTTATAAACAAGGGTATGTAAACTTTTAAAAGCTGTTGCTGTCAGTCTTCCTTTTTTTGGGGGGGGGTAACAATTTTGGTCTTAAAAATTCCTTGACATGGCAGGATTGCATTTTGGTAAGAAGCCCCCCCCTCCCTCCCTCTCTCTCTCTCCCTCTCTCTGTCTCTCTCTCTCCCTCTCTCTGTCTCTCTCTCTCTCTCTCTCTTTCTCTGTGTGTTTATGGGAATTAAAATCAAACACATCCTGATTTTCCCAATCCTGATTTAAAGCAAATTATTTTTCTTTGCGTAGGAGCCTTGCTTGCAATTTGAGAACTTGGCATTGAAGCTTCCTGTACAAAGGAGAGGAGTTTTAAACTAGGAGGCCTTCCTCTATGCCTTGTCTAGTTGGAGCTCTGAAAGGTCACTAGGCAGTTACCATTGATAATCTGTATGAATTTGTCCAGCCCAGTCATAAAGTTAACCAAGATGGCAGGTGTCACCACACATTGTGGTAACATCATGATTGTAACTATATAGGTATCAGAAGTATTTAATTTAACTAATAAATTAATCTAGCCTAATAAGGCCTACTGTTAATCTGCCAGCGAGGCTGATATCATCAGAGCATATTACTCATTCTAGCAGTGTTTTACTTCTTATAGTTCCCTGGCTATTTTCCCACATTTGGTGCCCCGTGTGAGGCAAGAAGCACGGGACAAGCTGAGCAACGCAACAGCGCGACAATTCACACTGCCCTCGCCCGGCAAGGGTTCCAGACGTCACACATCCGCAAGGATCCCGGGTGAGTGTTGAATTTGTCAAGCTAGACACCTAGCCTCCTAGCAACATGGGAAGCTTTGTATCTAATCTTCAGGAAGTACAGGACCTCCACTTCTTATTAAAAAGGAATGGTCACACGACCACACGCACAGAAGTGGAAGATTTAGTTCATACTATTCGGGATGTATGCCCCTGGATCCCCGAAGAAGGGACACTGGACCTCAAGGAATGGTCTAAAATAGGCAGCTGTTTACAGGGACATCCAAGAGTTACAGCAAAAGTGCTTTCTACATGCTGCAAAGTGCGTACTTGCCTTCAAGGCTGGGCACCACCATGGAACATTCTTTTCGATCAAGAATTTGAAAATAATCTGTTCAAACAACTCCCTCAAATTTTGCCTCCCCTTCCTCTCACACCAGCCCCC